ATAACCTGTCCTGTGGCCGGCTGCAAACAGAAGTTCCCCTGGCACTCCTCGCTGAAACGTCACATTCTGACACATACTCGTAAGTGAATACGCACATGCACACAATTTTCTTTTCTCGGATTGACAAGATAAATTTAACGAAAAAAAGTGGATCAAAACAGGCTATAACGCCTCCAACGCCTACGGCAGAAAGATTGTGTGGTTGAGAAGAATCAGAGAAGAGAGGACCACTAGTGTGGATATAAAATTTGACGAAGGCACATGATGCGTGCTTTTATGGACCTAGAACCTACTGCCGCTGTCCAGGGAGTTGGACCAAACTTCAGTCTTAAAACCAGGCGGAAATCGAGTTCATTTAGGTCTACCACCCCTCTCGAAAGCATGATCTATTACTAACAGCCGTTTTTACGGCTGGGGAAAGAAAAAAACGTTCAGTATTGATTCGTGTTCGTAGGCGGTAGAGGACAGTCCAACACGAGGAAGTGCGTGATGTCTGCCCTTCGACACAGACATAACCAAGTGGTGTTAAATTAGGGTGACCTTGAGAGAATATGAGGAAACACATATTCTGAAATAAGTACATTACTTAGCGAAAATGCAGATTAGGCTATTGGTGAGACAAATAGATGGCTCAAAAATTGTGTCATGCGCGTGCGTGCAAACCTAATCAGTAGACCGCGTTATTAAAATAGCCTGAATGCATTAAGTAGGCAAAAGTGTCAAGTTAATTTCAGAAGCTCCTTAGTGGTATGTGTTTACAGCCAAATTTAGGAAACCGAACTTTTCGTATGGCAGGAACACCTATCAATCAAATTAAGACTACACTTGAGACTAGGAGTGAGATAAGCGTTAGAATGACGAGGTGTTTTGGATGTTCTCTGACTCAGTATTTTTTTTAAACTTCATCATCCGTTTGGATTAACCTTCTCTTATAAATTAACATCTGTTTCAGACAACCGATTACTATCATTAAATTACCGAGGAAACAGGAGATATTTGCCCGATAGACTTTGCTGAGATTCAGAGTAATAAAAAAATTGATGCGCCTCTTGAGACTTATAAAAACCAGCGAGAACTTTTAGTAACGTACTGCGTACTGTCAAAATTCGCGAAGTAAACACTTCACGTACAAAAAACACAAAGCCCTCAAGCCATTTCCGGAGAAAATGGACTGAAACCCCCGTTTCAGGGTTACAAAAGTTTCTTGAATATTTTTTTTGGGGGGGGGGGAGGGCCACTGGATTGGGAAATGGATTTTAACCAAACCTTTACTATCTCTCCCACCTATATGTTTATTTACTTTCTGATGTATCCTTTTCCAGCCCACAAGCCGTTCGCCTGCACTCGTTGTACCAAGTCCTTCTCCACAAAGTCCAATCGCGAGAGGCACATGGAACGGGTGCACCGGGTCAGTCTAAAACGTCAAAAGCAGAAGAACCAACAACTGTGGACCAGCGCCAGTGGAGGTAGCACCAATAGTGCCGAGGAGACCGCAGATGGCTCCGTCGCCGAAAACGATGTTGACTCCGGGGCC